AATCCTTATCTGATTCCAGTATGTATGCTTCTAACCATTTTATCATATTTCTCCTTATCTATGTTCTCTGGTCATTTTTTTTTTTAAATGTGAAAGAAGACTCTTCAAATCCCTGCAACAACCAATAGCCTAGAACTCAATCTGGGTCTCCCATGTTAATGACAAGAACTCAACCACTTAATGCTGTCTCTCAGAGTGAGCATTAGCAGGAAGCTGGAATCAGAAGCAGGGCTGAAACTCCAATGCAGGCACGCTGATGCAGATGTCCCAAGTGGCAATTATTTTTTTAATGATTTATTTATTTATTTGAAAGGAAGAGTTATAGAGAGGTAGAAGCAGACAGAGAGCAAGTGGCTATTAATGCCTATCCTACCCTGGTAATTCTGAAGAGATCAAGACTGGTTACTGCCAATTTACTTTTCCATTATTCTATTATATAAACAACCCCTTTTATTCTAGTGTCACCCTGAGCATAGAGACCAGGTCTATCTTATTATGCCCAAATAGCATAAGGTCTGACATATGAAGGTACCTAACAAACACTAAATAAAATCCCTAAGAAAATACTAGGGTATGCAGGACTATCACCTAAAAACTAATAGCTACTAATTTAAAAAGTCATTATGGGTATAAGTGTTGTAGCACAGTAGATTAATCCAACCACCTGGGACACCAACACCCCATGCCAGAATGTCAATTTGAGTCCTGGCTACTCCATACTTGTCACTTCTGCTAATGTACCTCAGAGACAGTAGACGATGGTCCAAGTACTTGGGTTCCTGCCACCCACAGGGAGACTTAGATGAAGTTCCTGGCTCCTAGTTTCAGTCTAGCCCAGGCCGACTGTTCAGACATTTGGGGAGTGAACCAAATGGACAAAAGTGGATGGAGGGGTTGGCCGGCACCGCGGCTCACTAGGCTAATCCTCCGCCTTGCGGCGCCGGCACACCGGGTTCTAGTCCCGGTTGGGGCGCCGGATTCTGTCCCGGTTGCCCCTCTTCCAGGCCAGCTCTCTGCTGTGGCCAGGGAGTGCAGTGGAGGATGGCCCAGGTGCTTGGGCCCTGCACCCCATGGGAGACCAGGAAAAGCACCTGGCTCCTGCCATCGGATCAGCGCGGTGAGCCAGCCACAGCGCGCCGGCCGCGGCGGCCATTGGAGGGTGAACCAACGGAAAGGAAGACCTTTCTCTCTGTCTCTCTCTCTCACTGTCCACTCTGCCTGTCAAAAATAAAAAAATAAAAAAAAAAAGAAAAAGAAAAAGAAAAAAAAAAAAGTGGATGGAGGGGCCGGTGCCGTGGTGCAGTAGGTTAATCCTCTGCCTGTGGTGCCGGCATCCAATATGGGTGCCTGTTTGAGTCCTGGCTGCTCCTCTTCCAATCCAGCTCTCTGCTGTGGCCTGGGAAGGCAGTAGAAGATGGTCCAGTCCTAGGGCCCCTGCACCTGTATGGGAAACTGGGAAGAAGCACCTGGCTCCTGGCTTCGGATTGGCACAGCTCCAGCCATTGCAGCCATTTGAGGAGTGAACCAACGGACGGAAGATCTTTCTCTCTGTTTTTCCCTCTCACTGTCTGTGACTCTACCTCTCAAATAAATAAATAAAATCTTTAAAAAAAAAAAAAAAGTGGATAGAAATCTTTTCACCTTCTCTTCCTTTCCCCGCCCTCCCCCGCCAAGTCTCAAATAATAAAGTCTTTTTTAAAAAGTCATTTTGGCTTGAAATCTTTTCTCATTCTTAAAGTTCTATCACTTTTTGCTGTCAGTGTGACTGATCAATAGCACAGCTCTGAAGTTCTGGTTTACTAATGTACACACTGCTGCTCACTGCCTACCCAATGATAATCAAGCTTATCAGAACTGTGTGTGTAACCGGATCTGAGTAGGGCCTAAGTGACTCTCCAATAAGTAAAAGTATAAGAGCAGGACTTGTTGACATCTAATACAATACTTAGGTGCTCAGAATTCTCAGGGGTTGTCCTCTAAGTCTAATCTCACTATTTTATACACACACACACACACACGTATGCACTCAAGCCTGCCTATACATATACATGTGCAAAAACACATGCACACAGAGCACGTGATTGAAGTTTGGGCACTCAACTCAAGCTGGGTCAACTGAATTAACTGAAACCAGTGAGGGAACACTGTCACCACCTCTCATATCACAAACTGGAAATTAAGGCTGTCAGTTTTCATAGTCCCCAATTCAACAAAGTTTATTAGTGATAGGAGATAATGAGACAGACCATCAGAAAGATACATACCTCAAAAGTCCTATTAGAGTTCCAAGTTTTTTAAATCCAGATTCCCTTCCTTGCATTTTTCCTAGCATTTTCCATGATAGATTATACATGAACTTTTGAGATGGCTTTTTTTTTTTTTTAATTTATTTATTTGAAAGGTAGTGTTAAAGAGAGAGAGAGAGATCTATCTATCTTCCATCTGCTGGTTCACTCCCCAAATGGCTTGGACAGTTAGGGCTGGGCCAAGCTGAAAAACCAAAGCCAAGAGCCCAGAACTTCATCTGGGTCTTCTGTGTGGGTGGCAGGGGTCCAAGTACTTGTGCTACTCTCCACTGCCTTCTTAGGTGTATTAGTAAGAAACTGGACTGGAAGTAGAACAGCTGGGACTTGAATGGGCCCTTTGATATGGGATCTGACATTGCATGGGGTGGCTTAACCTGCTGCACCACAGTCTACTGCTGGCCTGACATCGTTTCTTGTTCCTTCGAACCAAGAGTGCTGGCACATACATACGTGTATGTGCAATACATATACTCAAACTATTTAACAAACTATGTATACCTTCTTTACATATTTCAAAGTGCCCAACATTATCCTTAGGAACTCAGAAAAAAGAATTAGACAAGATTCAGTTTCATTGTTTTCTAGCTGTGTGAGTAAAGGCAACCTCTGATACATCTGTGAATTTGTTTACTCATCTGCAAAACAGCAGCACTAACAGCATATATCAACTAGTTATATACCTCCAAACTATATCCTGAACTCACCCACTTATGTATCCATCTCCACTGCCACATCTCCCACCAAGATTATTAGTCTATAATTTAAATACCACACTGTAGCCAAAATATTTCATACTATGAAAATCAGATCAGTTCCCTGACTACAGCCTTGAATGGCTTCCTTCTGCACCAAGCTGCTGCTTTCCCCTCTGTCCTTACCTGGCATCTCTCTCTTGCCTTCACCTTTTGCTATTACTAAGTATGTAAAGCCCATTCCTGCTTCAAAGCTGTTACACTTGGCTTTTGTTTCTGTTGGAATGTTTTTGTTTCAGATCTTCACAAGGCTAGCTCTCCATTATCCAGGTCTTAGGTGTAATAACACTCCCTCAGATACCTTTTCTTCCACAAAGAAAAGTGGCAGCAGCGGCATTACGACTGCCAATTCACTATCCATAGCACTACTCTATTTTATAATCACTTTTCACTTATTTGTTTACTTGCCCTCATTTGTCTATCTTCACTAGAATGTTAGCTCTGTAAGAGCAAAGACTTCTTTATTCATGCTGCATCCCCACTATGTGCTTTACCGTAGGTATTAAATAAACATATCCTGAGTGACTTAGTACCCAATAAATACTGCTCAAAATTGGAGGAGTATTGGCCGGCGCCGCGGCTCACTAGGCTAATCCTCCGCCTAGCGGCGCCGGCACACCGGGTTCTAGTCCCGGTTGGGGCGCCGGATTCTGTCCCGGTTGCCCCTCTTCCAGGCCAGCTCTCTGCTGTGGCCAGGGAGTGCAGTGGAGGATGGCCCAGGTGCTTGGGCCCTGCACCTCATGGGAGACCAGGAAAAGCACCTGGCTCCTGCCATCGGATCAGCGCGGTGCGCCGGCCGCAGCGTGCCGGCCGCAGCGTGCCGGCCGCGGCGGTCATTGGAGGGTGAACCAACGGTAAAGGAAGACCTTTCTCTCTGTCTCTCTCTCTCACTGTCCACTCTGCCTGTCGGATAAGAAAAACATAAGTAAAAAAAAAAAAAAAAAGGAGGAGTATAAACTCTAGGTATAAGATACTACTTCCCAATAAGCCAAGGGCCTATTTACCAAAATAAATTAAAAATAAAGGAAGATATACATAACTGTTATCCACATCACATGGAACATGATATTAAAAGAAATGCAGTACAGTGAAAAAGTGCAACCAGACCTGTAATTCATCATTACACAGAGAATACAGAAGACAGTGACTACTCATTACTTTTCATCAAGTATTGCTAAGTAGTGTGATTAGCACTTACACATGCTCCCCTCCTCAAAATTCTAAGTTAAAACTTTTAGGGGTCCTGAAGCTCTTCTAATTAAATAATTACTCAAAAACTGGTGAGGGCCCTCAAAATTACTTCCCTATGGCTCTACTCAGATTCCTGTAATAACCCAGGAGCCCATGGTTCAAGCACCTTTCAAACAATTAAAATGTCTACTGATTGTTTCTTCAAAATGCCTTTAATATCCCTTCCTTTCCATTCCTTTGTTAACATGTGTCTAGATGAAACCCTATTACATCATTCAAGACAGCTAAAAGCAAATCTCTTATATCTTTGAACCCTGTCATGTGTCCCATGGAGAATGAATCCTCTAAAATTGCAGCTTTGCTGCCTAGATGTAAATATTTAAAGACTATTCACCACCAAATATGGATTCTCACACCTACCAGCTCCAAAATTTTCTTGACTAGCAAAACCTAAAATGAATTACCCATATATAATTTCAGAAACAGGTAACATTCTCTAATCATACAAGAGAAATCAGAAGGGAATATTTTATAGTAAGTCAGTATGTATTTCAACATAAATATTTAGTGATAACTGAACTAGAAGAGATAATAAAGTAAGCAGATACATACTATCAGCCCTCAAAAACGTAGAATCCAGGGACTGGTGTTGTGGCAGAACAGGTTAAGTTGCTGCCCTCATATGCTATGCTGGCATCCCATGTGAGTGTTGGTTTGAGTCCCAGTTGCTCCACCTCCTCCCCACCCCCTGCAGGGGAGAGCACAAATGCAGTCCCCCACTACCAAATATTATGCAGTCGAGCTTCCCATATTTGGGGAAATCGCAGGGGCCAGCACAGCCGGAGTGCAATGGATAAGCCTCACCTGGGGAAAACCACTGTCGTGATCATGGTATCTCCCCTGCCAGGTAGCTCCACCTCTGATATAGCTTTTGCTAGTGTGCCTGGGGAGGCAGCAGAGTCCCAGCTGTCGTGGTCACTTGGGGAGTGAAACAGTAGATGCAAGATCTCTCTCTGTCTCTACCTCTCTCTGTAACTCTGCCTTTCAAAAAAAAAGTATTTTTAAAAATGTAGCATACAGGGCTGGCGCCATGGCTCATTTGGCTAATCCTCCGCCTGCGGCACCGGCACCCCCGCTTCTAGTCCCAGTTGCTCCTCTTCCAGTCCAGCTCTCTGCTGTGGCCCGGGAAGGCAGTGGAGGATGGCCCAAGTCCTTGGACCCTGCACCCACATGGGAGACCAGGAGGAAGCACCTGGCTCCTGGCTTCAGATTGGCGCAGCGCACCAGCCATAGTGGCCATTTGGGGGGTGAACCAACGGAAAAAGAAAGACCTTTCTCTCTCTCTCTCTAAATCTGCCTGTCCAAAAAAAAAAAAAAAAGTAGCATACAGTAATATAATGCCAAAAAAATTATTCTGGTTATAAGCAAAACAAAATTAAGTTCTAGTTTCAAACAAACAATATTTTCATCAATATGAGTGGTGAGACATTCTAAATTCACATGGAATGTGTGATAATTGCTATGTATGTGAAACAGTCTGAGCATTTTGAGACATCTAATAATCTAGGACCCTATCTAGTATATATCCAATCACAGTAACGACCAAAAAGTTGTCTCCACAAGTTCCAATAATGTTAGATCTAAAACATTAGAATTCAAATATGCTACACAATGAGAAACCTACCATCTACTTGTTCCTACAATTTCCAACACATAGTGGAGGCTTCAGAGAAAACAATTTATCTGCTCCCCACCCTATATCCACCTTTTGCTTACTGGCATGTTCGTTGTGATATATGAAGAACTCATATCAAAACTAACTTTCCATTAATCATCTGTCAGACTTAATGTACTAACAAGAAGCAAATTCAACTAAAAGTCAAATTAGAATAAGTCTATAAAATTATACTAATATTACTCTGATTACATAATAAACCTAACATCTCGGTCAAGTGTTTGGCCTAGCAATTAAAATGTCAGTGAAGACAGCTATGTTTTGCATCAGAGTACCAAAGATTCAATGCCCACCTCTGGCTCCAGACTCTGGTTTCCTGCTAACACAGACCCCGGGAATCAGCACTGGTGACCCAAATGGTTGAGTTTCTGTCACCCATGTGGGAGACCTGAACTATTTTTCTGGCTCCTGGCTTCAGCTGTGACCAATCCCAGCCACTGACGACATTTGGAGAATGAACCAGCTGATAAAGAGTTCTCTTTAACTATCTCTTTGTCTCTGCCTCTCGAATGAATGCATATATAAATAAAAATCTACACATTTTAAATGTAAGAAATTGTAAGAAGAAAATCTTGAGACAATCATTTTGGGGTACATAGGCTATGTCAAATCCCTGTGCAGCATTCAATTTTTATCCATTAAAAACGAGCCTTGGGGTGGGTATCTGGCCTAGTGATTGAGACGCTACTTGAGATATTAGTATCCCATGCTGGAGTAAATAGACTCATGTCCTAGTTCTGATCCCAATTGTTGCTTCCTGTAAATACACGTAATGGGAGGCAGCAGGTGATGGCCCAACTGGTTTGGTCTCTGCCCACAAATGAAGTCTCTGATTGGGTTCCAGGCTTCTAGCTATGGTCTGTGGGCATTGGTGTAGTAAACCAGCAGATGGAAGCTCTCTGCCTCACCTTGGCCCCCAATCAAGTAATTTTTTTCAGGTAAGTAGAAGAATGGTTTAACATCAGAAACTCTGTTCAGGTAATTAAATAAATTAATCAATAGAGGAAAATACATATAATAATCTCTACTGATGTCTCCCAAATTTAAAAAAGAGGCATGCTTCATAATAAATTAACTGTTATATAATATCTGCCAAAAAGCAGAAAAAAAGTACCCATACAAAATCAACATTTGAAAAAGAGAAAGGACCCACTTATCACTCTTCCCACTTCTAATGTTAAAATCCTCCATAACTATATTATCTCTTATTAACACCAGGAAAACATCAGTTTAATACTAGTATATAACTACATGCCTTACCTGAAACTCACCAGTTTTTTCACTAATATTTTTCCAAAGACTCCTACCCATAAGCCACAATACATTTGTTATTTATCCTACTCTCCTTCAATATCTGATATTTCCTTGCACTTTTTTCAGTCTGTGATGTTTTTGACACCTTTAAAGAATACTGATCAGTTTTCTGTAGATTGTCTCTCAGTACAGTATTGTCTAAACTTTTTTCATAACAGAGAATATGATTACCCATTTATGGTAAGCATACTACAAAAATGGTACCATATTAATTGATGTGTTATTATTTTTATTTATTTAGAGAGAGAGGTAGAGAGAGGTAGAGAGAGAGAGAGAGAGACAGATCTTCCATCCACTGGTTTATTCTCCAAATGGCTACAATAACTGGAGCTGGGCCAGCCTGAAGCCAAGAGCCAGGAGCTTCTTCTGGGTCTCACATGTGGGTGCAGGCGTCAAAGGACTTGGGACATCCTCTGCCACTTTCCCAGGCACATTAGCAGAGAGCTGGATTGGAAGTGGAGCAGCCAGGACTCAAACTGGCTCCCATATGGGATGCCGGCACTGCAGGTGGAGGCTTTAACCCATTGTCCCATAAAACTGGCCCCGTATTTTTTTTTTTAAATAATTATTTATTTTTTTGAAAGGCAGAGTTAGAGGGAGGGAGAAGGGGAAAGAGACGGGAAGGAGGAAATGGAGGGAGAGGGAGACAGGGATGGGGATGGGGAGGGAGAGGAAGAGAAATCTTCTATCCGCTGGTTCACTCCCCAAATGGCCTCAAAGGCTGGGGCTGGGCCAGGCCAAAGCCAGTACCCCAGAGTTTCCTCTGGGTATCCCACATGGGAGCAGGGACTCAAGCACTTGGGTCACCCTCTGCTACTTTCCCAGGCACATTAGCAGGGAGCTGGATCTGAAATGGAGCAGCTGGGACTCGAACTACCATCCATATGGGATGCCAGTGTTGTAGGCAGAGGCAAACTGCAACATTGGCAACATTCTATGTATTATTCTTCTCTAGTGCATCCTGCCATGGGGTACATAATACCAATAGGTCATATTATCAGTGATGTTAACACTGATCACTCAAGGTTATCTTTGGGGGTTTCACTATTATAGTGTTATTATTTCTCTTTCAGTAAATATAATATATATATTTCTTTATTTGAAAGGCAGCGTTACAGAGAGAGAGAGAGATAGAGAGGTCAGTCCTCCATCTGCTGTTTGACTCCCCAGATAATCGCAAAAGCCAGAACTGGGCAGATCCCAAGCCAGGAGCCAGGAGCTTCATCCGAGTCTCCCATGTGGGTACAGGAGCCCAAGCAGTCAGGCCATCATCCACTGCTTTTCCAGGCCATTAGCAAAGAGCTGGATCAGAAGTAGAGAGGCCAAGTCTGGAAGCAGGGCCCATATGGGGCAATGCTGGCATTGCAGGCAGAGGCTTAGCCTACTACACCACAACACTGGCCTCATTTTTTTCATATTTTTGAGGACCACTATTATATATAATTTAGTGTGAACAGTTTTTATCTTTTCCCCATTTTTCTTATCCATGGAAGTGGAGAAAGAAAAAGGGAGAAGAGTCAAGACAATGAGATCTCCCACTGGCTGGTTCACTCCCCAAACGTTCAAACAGCCAGGGCAGGGGTAGGATGAAACTAGAAGCCAGGAACTCAATCCAGGTTTCCCATGTAGGTGGGAGACATCCAATCAGTTGAGCACATATAGGAAGTATACGTATAGGAAGTTGGAATAAAGAGTGGAGCTAGGACTCATATGCTGGCATCCTAAATTTAACCACTGAGCCAAATGCCTACCCGTTCTTCAACTTTTAGAAGTTTTTATATTTTAGGGATATTAGTGCTCTGACTGTATGTTACAAATAGTAACTACCTGGGCCAACACTGTGGCACAGTGGTTTAAAGCCAATGCCTGCAGGGCCAGCATCCTATATGAGCACCGGTTCAAGTCCCAGCTGCTCCACTGCTGATCTACCTCCCTGCCAATGCGCCTGGAAAAGCCATAGAAGATGGCTCAAATCCTTGGGCCCTGCACCTACGTATGAGATCTGGAGGAAGCTCCTGGCTCCTGGTTTCAGCCTGGCCCAGGCCTGGTCCTTGCGGCCATTTGGGGTGTGAACCAGTGGATGGATAGAAGATCTCTGTCTCTTCCCTCTCTGTAACTCTATCAAATAAGTAGATTAAAAAACAAAAGGTAAAAGTGACTTACAAGGGAAAGAAAATCATATAAAACAACAAAAAGTCACTCCCAAGTTATCAGTTCCCTTCTGATTCTTTTTTAGTCCTCCTTCTTTAATGTCAGTCAAATTTAACAGTCATACTAAGGAACAGACTTTCCCTATTCCAAGACAAAAAAAATTCTTTGAGTATTTTCATTTTCTTTAACATTCAGATTCGTGATCATTTGATGTTTATTTTTCTGTGTAGTGTAAAATATCCTTTTCCAAATGGCTATTGAGTGGGCTCATTATCAGTTTTTAAAAAGTCCATCTTTACTCCCAATGATCTGAAATTCAACCTTTATCATACATTCAAATTCCCATATGTTTCAGAGTTTAATTCTGCACTTTCCATTCCATTCCACAAGTCTTAAATGATACAATCTACTCATGTGTCAATACCACACTGTTTTAATTATAGATGCCTCATATAGTATGTTTTAATGAATGGTAGGGCTAACCCACTTGAAACTTTTCTTTTTCAGTATCATCTTGACAATTTTAACATGTTTATTTTTCTTCTTTAGCATCAGCTAGTCAACAACACAAAATAGTTACTGGAATTTTCAATGGGATGACAGTGAATTTATAGACTAATTTGGGGAGAAGGCAGGATCTTTACAAATTCTGAATCACAGCATTTAAGCACAAAAGATGTTGGGGCCAGCACTGTGGTGCAGTGGGTTAAGCTGC